GAGATCCACAGAAGTTTGTCTCAGACTATTGTTTTGTTAAAACAGCCCAAATTTACCACTGGTCTTCCTCACTGTACAACACAGGATGCTCTAAACCAACATCACTATCTGCTTTTTTGGCAGCCCTATTTTATATTCACTCTACTCCACTGCTCATATTGTAGTTTTGCTTGGGTCCTATGTTGTAAAATGAGTTGAGCCTCTCTGTTTTCACTAACTCCTACCTGGGATCAGTGAGCTTGTATCCAAAATACTGACCTGTTTTCTTTCTTTCATGCTTCTTGCACCTCTTCTCAGAAGGTGACAGCCTCTCTTCCTAGGACAAAGGATGCAGTGCAAGACAGTCCATCTTCTTGCTCAACAAGCATAGCACTCAAAAACGCACAGGGTAGTCTCAAAGAAGAGGGGAAGCAGAGTCATCGCTGTTTCCCAGTGACAGCGGGTGGCCTCAACAGCCCAGGGCTGCTTTAGGTTGTATTGCTCTTACACACAGCAGCACCTCCTGTGTTGGTGGCACAGCCATTTCCTCATCGCTCAGGGACCAAGAGATTTAGACACAGTAGCCAGAAAGGACCCCCCTTGCCCTACCTGCTGTGGCAGAACACAAATTCTTGTGTAGAGTCTTCCGCTCAGAAAATAGTGCAACACATTGAGCAGCAGATGCCCTGGAGTGAAAATCAGCCTGCAGTGCTGATGGCATTTTAGAGAGGTGACACATTGTGCTTGTGCTTTCAGGTGCAGCTCCCACCGACATGGAGCTCGTGTCCTCCATGATGCAAAAAATTGCTCTGTTGGAACAAAAAGTAAAGAAACAAGCAGAGGAAATCCAATTGAAGGTAAAAATCATGGTCCTTAGAGGGCCTGTTCAGTGCCCTACTTTAACGGTTCAAGTCACAGTAGCAATATACCTACTCAGACCTACTTTGGGCAAAAACAAGTTAATCTGTAGTCTGCTTACTACAGAAATGACCCATTGCAAAGCCACAGAGCAGCCAGCATTTGGCCTTGGGGTGTGGGACATGACAGTCAAGTTATGCTGGGCTTTTTCAGGCTTTAAGAAATGAATCTCAGCACTCATTTCCCCAAAGCATTGGCTGTTTAGCTTCAGGCTTCCCTTCTTTTTGCTTTCTGAAGCAGCAGCTGCTCAGATCACAGGGCTGCACCACAGCACGCCTCTTCACCTAACCAAAGTTTGGAATAAACGGTGTTTTTGGAAGTAATGACTACAGAGATGATGGTTCAGTTTCCAGATTTGTCACTTGCTGCAGGTCAGGTTGTGAACTGTGCCTGAGCAGGGAGTGCAAGGCCATGACCCTATCCATCCCACAGCTCTTGCCCATATGGACAAGAAGGGGGTAGGTGGGTCCGCATGTCCCTTACCTATTCTTGAGCAGTGTTATTACATCCACCCCTCCTTTGGGTCCCATCAAGGTGTTTCTGAGGAGATAAGAGCCTTTGTAACACCGCTCAGGGGGGTGAGGGTGTATGTACAGCCAGGACCAATTGTGCAGACCACACTTATAGGTACCAAAGAGAAACTAAACATGTTTTGGTTTGGTTTTGGATCTTAAAGGACAGGAAGATTGCTGAACTTAAGGGGAAGATGAAGACCCCCCTTCAGAAAGCAGAAGGTAAAAATGCCCTGCTCTTGGCACCCTACTCCTACCTGAGAGCTCCACAGAGCTCCAAACCTGCTCTGCTGCAGTACCAGGACCTTCTTGAGGGCTTCTGACCTGCCCTTGCCTTAGATCAGTTACACTCACGCTGCTGTTAACCGAGGTAGATCCTCCCTTCATACAGGCATCTGCTACTCTGCTTTTCTGGTGCAGCATAATAGAGTATTTTGTGACCCATTTTTTTTATGGGTTACTAAGTTTCCATGAGCACAGAACAACCATGTAGGTAGATGACAGGGGGCAGAGAAAAGAACAAGTAAACAGCACAGAAATCAAACAATCTGAAAAAACAGAGCTCCTTGCAGTTAAGCAAAACCCGAGTTGTGCCTGGAGTCTCAAACAATTCTCCCAGGTCCAGGTTTTAGCCTGTCCACATCTTTCTCAAAGTGCTGCAGGTTGAATTTGGCAGGGACAGCACACACAGCCCCTGTGACTTATGGGCTCAGATGAATTCTCTGTGCAGGCAGGCTGCAGGGGCACCTCCACTGCGTGGCATAGGTTATCTGCAGCAATTCCTTAAAACTGCCTAGGAAAAAAAAAAAAAATCTTCCCTATCAGATGCTCCTGACTCACCCAGAGCAGAGGATCTAGAAACGAGGTGCCTTCGGCTGCAGACCCAGGTCTGGGAGATGGAGGTGAGACTCTTGCTTTGCTTACCCCAAGCTATCTGCACCTTTCACTTGAGGTTCTTTCAGTCCTGGCTTGCTTGGTGCTTATCAAGCTGCTCGTTTAATTGCCACAAATCTTCACCTCACCTCTCAGAAAAGAAAAAGCAGGTTGGATGGGAGCTACAGGGAGGGGGAATAGTTTGTATACACAAATATCAGGCCACCTCCGAGTATCACAATTTTGATTCCTAGGGCTGTATCTTTTGCAGCTGTCAGAGCTTTGGGTGACAACTATATAACTAAGGATAGTTTCATTGTGACATTAATCTGCTACTACTCTGTCAGTGAGAATGTCTGTCTAACAGGGCCAAATAAGCCATGAGCCACCTTCACTTTCACGTCCCCTTCTGCACGCCACAGTCACAACTACGCTCAGGTTTCCAGTTCCAGTTTCTGTGTCTGTGGACCTGCACTGCTGCCTTGGGTTTTCTCTTCTATGTACAGCGGTTTCTAAATGACTATGGTCTGATTTGGGTTGGAGAGAGTCATGAACAACTCGAAGACTTAGAAGCATGCAAGGACGAAGAAGAACTGCCTGCAAGGAGGCTCTGGAAGCCAGGTAACACTCAGTGCTCTTCCTTGGGGCTGCTGTCCTAGCTCCCGCTGAACACTTGGAGAGGGTACAATATTTCCTGGAGAAGACAAGCAGGTCATCAGAGCTTGTGATCTTGGGCTGGAGTCTCCACATCAGCCCAGCTCAGGTAAACAGACATGGAACAATATAACAGAGGCTGGGCCGGGCCAAATATTGGTATTTATATGCATATATTTTATAAATACCATTTGGGAGGAGAAAACCTGGTGGTTTAACCATTTGGAAAAATACCCTCAACAGCAGCTGTTTCCTTCCTACCCTAAGACCTGACATACCCTAAATGTAGAAGGTCTGATTTTGCTCTAATAGGAATGAGGTAAAGTGCGTGGAAACCAGCAGCAGATGTTTGTACACAAAGTGGCTACAGTAAGTGGCCCACGTTGCCGGTTCTGTCAGCGAGTGTTGTTTGCCTTTCCTCCCAGCAGCCACGTGAACGGTTTAAGTGGGACCCGATGGTGCTGAAAGGGGTCCAAGGCTATTTGGCAACAGCCTTCTAGGAAATGGTAATGGGAAAAAAACAGAACAAAACAAAACCTGGGCTCCGCAGCCAATGCTGCCTCCTGAGCACTATGCAAATACTGCCTAGTTATTTCTTCCTCTCTTAGATGCAAGAGGTAAGATGGGGAAAGTAACAGAAATAATCTTCCTGAGTTGCAGTTCATTTACTCATTCTAACAGATTTTTTTCCTCTTACATAAGCTGTTCTTTTTTTTTTACCAGATCTTTGAAAAGCAGAACAGAAAAATATCAAAGGCCCTGGGCCCCCGCTCTGCGTATATTTCTGCTCTCATTTCCTCTTCTCATTTAATTTCTCCATGTCATCACAACATCCCCTGTGCCACTCTCCCTCCACGTGCCCCCAGACACACACACTCAGCAGCAGCCCCGTGGGAGAGGGCTGCTTTGGGGACAAAACCTGCCCGTGGCTCGGAGCAGGCAGCCAGCTGTGTTTACACTGGCACTTCCTCAGCCAGCCTGGCCCCTTTACCCAATCCACACAACAAGTTCCTCCTTCTGTGCATTTCGCAGCATCATTTTAAGAGACAACACATCAAGTTACGAGCAAACGCAGGGATCTGAAGGCTGCTGCAGAACAGTTTGCTGTGGCTTTAGCTGACAGCGGAGCTAGTGGCAGGTTTTAACAAGCACGCTGTTTCCCCGGGGCCCTGCCCTTGTGGTTTCGCACACACCCATGGGGACCTGGCAGCACAGCAACACTGCAGTGTTGTCGCCCCACGTTTTGCAAAATTGCACACGGTGAAACGCCAAGAGGCAGCACGGACAGCCCCAAAACACTAGCATTGCAATGCACCTCGAGTCTGTCCACGCAGATGTGAAAACTGTTTAGTTGGCACCTCCTTCTCCTCCTAACTGAGCTCCTTCTGCCACAGGTGAAACAATTGCTTCAAAATTCCAGATTGATTTTGACTTAGTTTTGGAAAACGTGAAGGATTTGAACGCGCTGGCTGGGGAAGGCCTTTCTGAGATCGAGCACACGCCTCAGGGCGCTCGCTTGAGGCAGCCAGAATCCCTCCCCCTCACACTGTATGGAGATGGGATGGTCATGGGCAACGGACCCTTTCGGCCCTATGAGGAACCGTCCTCGCAGGTATGGAGAGGTGTGGGGGGAACTCGACTCGCAGCCTCCCCAGATCCCAGGTAGGGCTTGGGAGCTCATCCCAGTCAGAAAAAAGCGCAGCTGCGGAGACCTCCCAGCCTCACGCTCTCATGATGCCCTTAAGGACTGTTACCTGGTTGTACAGGAGCTTTTAGAGTTGAAAACTCTGAGTCTTCCACGCACACTTTCCTTCACTGCAGAAACACAAATAGGAGCAACCTAGGAGGAATATATTAGTCATGAGATGACTGCAGAGTCTGAGGACGGGCACTGAGGTTCTTGTGCTTTGTTTCAGCAATACCTGCGGGATATCATGGATGGCTATTTCCCTTCAGAGCTACAGCCACGCTACCCCAACGGCGTTCCTTTACAGGTGGGCAGTGCAAAGCTCCATTCAGCAGCTTTTTGATAGAAAATCCTCTCTTGGCTCTCTAAGAAAAGGGCTCAGATTTCTGCCACTATCACCAATCCACTGGATCCTCCCCAAAGCAAATTAAGTTTGTTTTGAAATCACACAGCTAATAAGCAGGTAAGTTCTCTGCATGGGTATCTTAGGAAAAGGGTGGCTGGAAACACCTGCGAGAGCTGTTACAGGAAACATGTGAGTATCTGTGCACTGGGACCCAACGGTTTCGCTGCCTCGGTGAATCGTGGCTTGGAACAAGAGTTCAGAGAGCTGAACACGCTTTGTAGAAGAGAAGCAGCATCCGAGCAGCACGTGCAGCATCTGAGTAGCTTTGCAATTAAAAAAAAAATCTCAAGCAGTTCCCCTGAGAAAGTTTTAACAACAGATTAGACTCACGTGTCACAAGGAAGTAGAAAAAGTTGATTTTGCCATAATCTAATTACCTTTGGCTTCCTAAAAAGTCTTTGCCCTCCCTCCCCCTCAAAAATTATCAGGAAAAAAAAGCCTTGTTTTAGGCACAAAACGGGCAAAGGGAAGGAATCTCAGAGGACTGTAATGTAAGTCTTCAAATGCACCTGAAACAGCAGGCACAGGCAGGGGGGACATTTATCTGCTGCCGGAAAGGACACAGGCCACAAGAGCACAGGCAAAAGCTACTGCAGCCGAGCCGAGACGGAAGGTGCCGCGGGTGGAGGGGCAGGACTGTCCCAAGGCAGCG